TAGGATTTTTTGGGCTCAGGGCTGAAGATTTAGGGTCGAGGGTGGATTAAGGTTTTTAGGGTTTAAGGCTTAGGGTTGAAGATTTAGGGGTTAGGGAGGATTAAGGTTTTTAGGGTGTAGGGTTGGGTTGCCGATTCAGGGTTTAGGGTTTAGGGAGTAGCGGGATTCGATAGTGAGATTCGGGTTTAGGGCTTAGGGGGCATTAGGCTTTAGGGATTAGGGCAATTCGGGTTTAGGGCTTCTGGAGGAGGAAGGTCTAGGGCTAGGACCAACTTCACGAAGGGAGTTTCCGATGGGAGCTCATATGAGGGGTGTATACGGCTTATAATGAGTGCCTACATGTGAACTCACCTCCTGTGATTGTCACGTCACAGGCCCTAAACCCTAAACCCCAAAACCAAAACCCTAAATTCTAAACACTGAACCCTAAACCCTCAACCCTAAACCGCTGCTTTAAGGTTCTGAGGAGAAGTTGTGCAGTTCAAGCATGATGCTACCGGGCTGAAGATCTCAGCAAAAAAGGAAGCCTGGGGAAGAGACCTACTTTGAGAAACCCCATCCCCCATATCTGCAACCCGAGCTCTGAACCCAAATCAGAAGCGGTTTAAGGTTTATAAGGTTCTGTAGTATCCTTCTACCTTAAAGCAATACTATGTTTAATGATTTCTCAAGGTTATATTATAACATAATGTAAAATAACTCCTAAGGAGACTATAGGATTTAGCTGAGAAGCATGAAATCCTCCACTTTGTATGAGGGCGCTTGTAACTCAGGGGCCCCAGAAGAGAAATGTTGACCGTAATCTACTGCAATGACTCCATGTTCTGGGGAATCCCTACACAGGGACCACCAATCGTCTAAAGCCCCGATATAAACCCCAAAGCATGCTTCTTTCCCAAACAGCCAAGCAACTGTCAATTTGCTTCCTCACTTCACTGGTCCAGCTTTTATCATAGGCAATCTCCTGACGTGCATCAAGAGAATTTTCGTAACCCCATTGCCCAAAATTCGAACCTATAATGTAGCCTATAATCATGATGGTTATAGGGTCTGAAGTTTCGGGGACGGGGTTGCCGGGTTGCCAAATCCACTGATTTCTGTATCAGTTGAATCTAGAAGTTCTGCATGAGATGAGTATACCAAAGCTAGTCCCTACATCCCTTCGGCCCTAATCTTTCAACGCGATACTCTAACACAAAGCCCTTGGCCATACATGTGTCTGCATATATGCTCATACACATATATGCTATCTATGCTGACCCCACGTAAACCACCTGGTGGGCAACCAAGATAGCTCTTTTTCTTAGGCATTGGAGGGGGTGCTACTGGAAAATCAGGTCTTTCTTGGCAAACATGTTTTTAAATATGCCATTTCTTTCCTAGGACAGACTAGAAGAACAAGCCTTTGAGAAACAATAGCGGCTTTTGAAAACAATGCTTTTTCGGTCGCCTTGGGAAACGACGATTTTCTTGAAAAGCCGACCTTTTCCGAGGAACAAATGTCAATAGCACGTCTCTAGGAAGGATTCTGTTTCGAACTGCTGTTCTTCCAAAACCACCCTATTTCATGGGAAACATCGTTTTAGGAAAAAGACAATCCTAAGGAAAGCTATGAAATCGTTTTTGAAAAGCTACCATAGGTTCTCAAAAAGACGTTGTTGGTTTGAAGTTGCCTCTAGGAAAACATATGTTTGTTCAATAGCGCCTTCGAACAAAGATAGGCTTCAAAGCTCCAAGAGCATGGCTTTGAAAACTCATCTTTTCTTGGGAAGCACAAGGCTTTTTCAATATGACCTCCCTCATTTCTTAGGTGTCCATTGCTTGTTTCTAGTAGCATGCTTAGAAAGGGCTTCATATAGGAAAGTCTAAAGCAGATCCAAGCAGACCGAGGGAGCTCCTTTGTTTCTAGGCTCACATTAATTCAATGGCTTCTTACAAAGGACTTTGTCCAATCCAATGGAAGTCCAGTTTTCAAGTCGGCATCCACCTGACGTTTAAGGTTGTTATTGGTTGTGGATGGTTGTTATGGGGGAACTCATATGAAGGAGCCCAATGAAAATGTACTAGAATGGCATCTCCTTGATGTCTCACTTTCTTATTGTTCTTGTAAGGTTTTCGAGAAGGCCTTCATATAACATAACCTAAGAGAAGTCTAACAAGAATTAGGAAAGCAATTTGTTATCTTGGTTTACTGGCTGTAGGTAGTCTCCATACGTGAAATTCTGTAGGAAATCTACTATGAGGGATCTCCTTTATCTCTCAGGCTTGCATACAGGAATCTATATCTAAACAACTCAGCATTCTTCTTTTTCCTAGGTGCTGACCTTTTTGGATGGGTTTCTGTAGCGAAAAATTGTTTTCTGTGCCAACTATTCTCGGAAAGGACGCCCGTAAAGACAGTTGGTTCCTCGGCATAGAGCTTCTTTCGTGAAACTTTTCTAGCTACGCAGGTAACAACCCATAAGAACATTCTTTGTTGCTTCTGAGGCCTCAGGTTAAGCTGATTAGATGACTGGAGTTGAGCAAAGTAGAGTCACTGCTCGAACTGGTTTCAGTCATTGCTCGAACTGGTTTCTTCAACAATCAAGTTCATGGTCCCAGCGAGCTAAATGTTTGCTCAAGCCAACCAATTCGAAAAGACGGATTCGGTTTGCTCATGTAATGAGGCAAAAAATTCAAGTGGTCGGACCGCGTAGATTGGGGCTCATGTCTTGATGTGACAAATCAATGTAGCCTACTTGGTCCAACGATTTGCCATGCATAATTTAATCAGATAAGATTACATCTGTGGATTAGGGCCTTACATGCCATAGAAGTACCTAGATGTGTAAACCTACAAGACAACTCTTCTTAAAAATCATAAATCTGCAAAGCTGCGGATTTGTAATGCGTGCGTAAAATGCACACATTAAACACTTTGCTTTGGACATCTAAGATTTCACAACAACTTCTCTGAGGATCTTCTCAATCTTGATCTTCAGCTTTAAGTATCTTGAATCTTCCAGTTGGGTATGCAAACAAAGCCCTCCAGTCGAATTACTATTCGAAAATCACCATCTGTAATGCATGGTTCCACTGTCCTGTGGGGTGGGACCGCTTATTTACATATGTATATACAGATATATATATATATACGTATACACTTACATATGAGCTGTAGCCTAAACTCCTAGTATCCCCTTGATAACCCCTAAAGTAGTCCCCTATATAATCTCTATATGGTCCCCCGTTAAGGAGTTTAGACTATAGTTCATATTAAGCCCTAATCCCTATAAACTAACCCTTAATCCCAGTTTCCATTTCATTTTCCATTTTCTTTTCCATTTGATTCTCCATTATAGCAATTTCCATTGTATTTTCCATTATCCCAATATTACCCTAAACCCTAAACCCCAAACCCTAAACCCTAAATCCCAATATAACCTAAATCCCTTGGTATCCCTAAAGCCCCTTCGAAGGGATCCTTGGTAACGTCTTCGGCAAAGGTTTCCTCCCTTTGGGCGTGAGCGGTCAACAGCTGCTGTAAATATCTTGCAGATGGCAATGCAGAAGCCAGATGCCTGAACCAAACCCCTAGAAAGATCTGGAGGGGGTTGGGGGTTTAGGGTTTAGGGCTTTGGCTTTGGCTTTGGGGTTTTGGGTGCAGGGCTTGGCACCATGTATTTCTATTGGGAAGTTTCTGCTAAGCCTTGTTAAGGGCGGTCTACTTGCTAGGTCCTCGCGGAGGTCCAAGTCTAAGCATGGATTGCAGGGTCAAGGTCTGCGGTATGGAGTGATGGTGCAGGGGCATGCCCTCCCTTCTACTCCCGACAAGTGGTTTCTTACCTCTGGTTAGCAGCACATGAAAAGAACATGGAAACTACTGCATTAAAAACCGTATATAACCCCTATATAATCACTTTATGACCCCTATATGAGCCCTAAATAATTCCAATTATACTGGGGCTACTATGAGGATACATGTCTTCATCCCTTGCTGACCAGACGTAAGGCTTGGATATCTCCTTTCCTCCACCGCTTCCCGGGCTCAGGAGTCTCTGCAATAAGCGCTGTATAATAAGCGCCGAAAAATATTGGGGTCTATACTGCCCCACCTTTGTTTTATGGAACCGCTCTGACTCCACCGATGCCATTAGCCGGAACCGGAAGAAGCTACAGCAGTTCGGGGGAATGGGATACGGGGTTTCCAAGATTTAGGGGTACCTTTTGAAAGTCGCTGCAATCAGGATTATGCTGCATTGGGGCTTCTATGTTCTGGATGGAAACTATCATGTGAGCTATAGTCTAAATTGCTAGTATCCCCATCAATAACCCCTATCCCGTAATACTCCCCTATATAATCCCCTATAGTATTCCCCTTCAAGGAGTTCGGGCCATAGCTCATGTGGGCTCTACCACCAATTGCACCAGGCCAGCCGTGTGGCCATTCTTACCCTGACAGTTAAACCGTTCGTACTAACACTCCAATCATGAAAAACACATAAGAAACTTTTGAAAACTTGGGGGACAAATCATCTGATATTGGGGTGGGGGTGTGTTTAAAGGCCTGTTACCACCTAACGCCCCTCTTAAGTAGATAGAATATGTGGTATCTCGTGATCTGACTATGATATTGGGGAATTCCATATTCCATCTCTATAAGTGGGACAATAGGGGGCACAGGGGCCTCGAATGATTGGAACAAGGCCCAACTGTGTTTCTGAGGCACAGTCTATTCTTGCTATATTAAACCTTAAACCCTAGAGGTCTGCAAGCAAGCTCTGCTGGAGATAGAATCAACCTAGAGAGCTAGTAGTCTATAATCATGTTCTACTTACGCTCCATGTTCTACCGCTTTGGGTTGAAGTAGCCCTATAACTTGGACAACTAGCCAGAACCCCCAAGCGCCCAAGCCTTAGGAACTCTCTTGGGCCCGGTCATGTACTATTCAGGTACCTCGGTTCAATAAAGTACATTAACGACAAGTCTAAACGTAGGAAAATTAGGAAATGCCTAGATGCAAAGCAGTAGACCCGCGGCTGAAGTACCACAGCGGCTTAGCATCTTCAAGACCTTGCAAGTTATTAGTAGGGAAGGAAGGAAGAAAGCAAGCACAACATAACAGGTACCTATCTTTTCATGCGGCCCTTTTTCATACCCTAAACCCTAAACCGAGTTTAGAATTCAGGGTTAAGGGTAGGAAGGACTGGAAAAGCACATGGAAACTATTATATCTTTAGGGGTCATAAAGGGGTGGCTATGAGGTTCCCACTCCTAGCCTCCAGGGTTTAGGATCTAGGGTTTAGGATTTAGAATTTATGGTTTAGGTTTAGGATTCAGGGTTCAAGGTTTGGGTTTAGGGTTTAAGGCCTGCCAACAACCTTTACGATAACCCAGAACCCTTTTTCTCCCAGTGTTTCCATTCCACTTCCCGTCTGCTGTTCCATGTGAGATTCCATTACCTGCCCTAAACCCTAAATCTTAAACCCAAAACCCATACACCCGAAAACAACAAAACCCTAACCCTAAACCCTAAGCTCTAAGCCCTAAACTCTAAACCCTCAGCCGCAGCAAGAGACTTGGGACAACCTCGCTCTCATTCTCATCATCCTCATCGTCGAAGCTCATCTCGCTGGATGCATCGGACATATCCCACTCCTGGGTGGTACTTCAAAGGCACCCAAAAGTGGGCATGAATAGGCTAGCGGCTCCCGTAAATATGACATATAAGAGAGTAATCATGCTACCTAGGCTCACTTTTGGAGGCTCGCATGGTGAGGCTCGACTCCATGCCTTCGTATTCTTCATGCTCCACCAGTGCAGCCGCATTCAGAGGTACCAGGATGAGACCCTGCTTGTTACCATCCCTCTCGACCCGGTAGACGGGATCCGTGAGAAGGTCGCGGAAATCAGGTCCTATCATCAAATCTCCGGCTTGGGTGGGCTGTGCCAGCTGTGAGGGCAGGCGATCATCCAAGCAGGAAGCATCTTCCTGCAAGAGCCGGGCAATCACTGTGCTGCAGTCCTCCTCAGGGCATGTGTTGAAGTATCCTGCTAGGTAGGGGGGGGTCCAGATTTCAAACCTAGCCGAACTTCAGCTAATGATGTCGCAGTTTGGCTTCCTGTTTTCACATGCTTCTGTGAACACGTTTTCGGTGAGAAGCCTTCGCCGAGTCATACCCAGCAATGACACACTTCGTGCCACCATTATATAGGGGCCCTAAAACCCTATTATTTGGGTCCTAACACATGTGGACTACATCCAGGGAAGCTTTGAGGGAGGCGGGTGGGCGGTGCACCACCCAAAGTCCCGCAATTCCTGGGAGTTAGTATAATCCAGGGACCCAACGTCGTGCAAGATTTCTGCATCAACAGAATCAGAGGCCAGAGAGTACTGCAGTAACATAGGAGCCAAAACTATCGCTGCAGGGGTTTGGGGTATATGATGCAAAACTACATGAGTACAGTAACTACTAAGCAAAGGACTTTGGTTACCCCAACCCCCAAAACACGGCCCCTGAAAGTCATGTGATAGGCCGAGGCTAAATCTAAAAGCCCTAAATCCTAAAGCCCCCTAAACCCTGACCAGCAAACCCAGTAAGACTTCCGCAATATCTTGCCTGCTGGGCTGGCGTGGGCCGCTCCGAAAGATGAAAACACCTTGATGGTTAGGGTTTAGGGTTAAGGGTTTAGAGTTCTTAGGGTTTAGGGTTTAGGGAGATGGAAACACCTTGATGGTTGGGTTTAGGGCTGTTAAGTCATCAAGGAAGGAATGAAAAAGAACATGGGAACTACCATGGGAGTATATAGTGGCTACTTATTTGTGTACAGGCCTAGGGTTTGGATGTAGGGCTTAGGGAATGAAATGGCAACTAGTGTAGCGTCTAGGGTTTAGGATTTAGTGCCAAGGAAGGGGGAAAGGAAATCGAAACTACGAGCTCAAAAAAAAGGGGCTGCTATAGGTATCATTTGTCCGTTTTCTACTACCTGAACCCCGAAAGTAGCTAAAATAATAGCCCAAAACCAGTACATCTAGTCCACAAGGCTATTATTTTACATATTTTACATACTTTTGGGGTTCAGGTAACAACTAGGAAGATGAACCTAAGCCCCAAATATGCTTGTCAGCCCCACTTTGCCAATCTATCTTCCATTTGCTTTTTCTGTTTGCTGTTGGATTCCTTACTACCAGCCACACCTTGAACTCTTGGCCCCTGAACAATAATTCCTAAACCCTAATCCCGGAACCCTGAAAGAGTAAGGCACTGGTGGCATTGGAAGAAGTCCCATGTGCCACCTTGGCTTGCGGTTTATACTTGGAGGGTTATGGGGATGTAGGAAATAGGGTCATGTAAGCCCCCATATACCCCCTGTAAGGAGTTTACACTATGGCTCATACGGTCCCTAAACCCTAAACCCTAATTAAACCCTAAACCCTAAACTGTAATCCTCTACAGTTCAAGTAAAGCAAGTTTATGGGTTCAGGTTGAAGGTTTAGGGATCAAGGTTTAAGGGGCTGGGGTTTGAGGATAATGGAAAAGAGAATGGAAACTACAGGCAATATAATTAGGGGCTATACAGGGGCGATGTAGGGATTATGTAAGGGTTATATAGGGATTACCCAGGTGTAGGGGTTGGGGTTTAGGGATTTACATTTTCAGATTGGGGATTAGGGTCTAGGGTTCGGGGGAGTAGGGCTTAGGGTCATGGGCACTGGGTAATTAGGCGAATATTTCATGATATGGCATTGTTTCAAGGTTATGAGTATGGACTTACTACGTCTCCACAGATGGCACTCCTAAACCTCGGGCGCTGTTTGATAGAAGTAGAAAATCTAATCATATCAAATGCCAGTAAGAATTTTCCCCATATATATGCTCTGTGGAAGGAGACGCACCTGGACACTCGCATATACATTTTTTCTTGAAACTAATTTATTGTCGGCTCAGGGGGGACGTAACCACTAATCATCATGGGGTCCCTGCCGCCCCCATATACTTCTGCCCCAAGGTCCGCTCTTAGTTAGCCCTCAACTGCCTACCTGGACCCTGGATGTCCTTCCTTTTCAGGGTTCTGCCCTACATATTTATAGGGTAGATCCCCAAAAAGGTAGAACATCCAGGGTCCAGGTAGTTCAGGGTGAACCCATGATGACAGGGTCTGACTACCGCAAGCCGAAGCACATGCATACTCGGCTGACGGCCGTGGGCAGGTACTGCAGCCGCTTTCCACTCCACTGCTGGGATACCTTACAGGTACTTAAGAGAGGAGTAGGGAGTGGATACCTAGGATAATCCCCACACAACCCCCAAAAACATATTCCCTCCCCTAAACCCTTAACCCTGAGCCCTACTGTAGTCATCATTCTCTTTCCCAATCCCCCCCTGAATCACCAGGAAGATGCAGAGCGTGCGTGTGCCGTTGTAGCTGTCGTCCGGTCGCGCAATAGCTGCGCAAGGCACAAAGCAAAGTTGGCAAGTGCACATATTGAAACCAGGGCGCGCCACCTGGCCAGTGTTCTGGGGTTTGGGGCTTCGGGTATAGGCTTTAGGTTTTTAGGGGGTATAAGGAGAACTACCCACATTAATGCTCAGAAGTAAATCTTCCCCCCTCCCATTATGTAAATGGCATCATGTTGCCAAAGCCTTCAGATCCTGAAATTAAGCCCCTTTCGGACCATTTTCTGTCTGAAGCACTGGGGTGAGGCCGAGGTGAACTTGTCCAGCGCCTAAACACTCAGTCAAGGGTGCCTATAACTCATCTCCTCAAAATGAAAAAAATGGTGTATCATTCGGGGATTGACTCTAGCACAATAACGGTGATTCCTGTATGACCCGAGTTTCCACTTGATATTCTTTTTGATTTGGTAGTTTCCCAAAATAAGAGGACCCCAATATAGACCCCAATATACTATAATCCTTATTATGGGTACCCCCCCAAAAGGTACCCATAATTTTGGGAAACCACCCATTTAGTAAGCTTTCCATTATGGTAGTAAAGGGGTCTGGAGTTGCTTTTCAGGGGCCTAGCTCCACTTTTGAGGCATGAACCATCTAAACCATCCTGTTAGGTTCCCCATGGGTGGAGCTCATACTTGGCGTATACAAGAAGGAAAAAGGGATTTGAGTATATAGGGATGTCTAAGGCTAATACCCTCGCTACATGGTGAAAGACGCCCTACTTCGAAATCGCCGCTTGACGCGAGGAATGGGACGACTGTAGCGTCACAGCCATAAAACTTGCCTAACCCCCCTAGTGCAGAAGCCTGAATGAATGCAATATCACAATGTGCCATTCTTGAAGTACCATGTACCAGACTTCTACAAGGAATCTAGGATCATAGCTCCCATTTTCTTTTCCATTATCCTAATATAGCCCCAATCTACTATAGTAGTTTCCATTTTCTTTTCCATTATCCCTATATAACCTCCTACATCACCCTAGTCCCTCGGCCTCAAATGGCACCCCTGACCCCAAGCTTTTCGTCAAGCCCAGCCTAGCTTGCCCGATTTCTGTTGGTCTGGTTGCTCCATGTCCTCATTGAGGAAGCCCCAAAAGAAGGTCAATCTAGGAACCCAAAACTGGCCTTTGGTTAGCTGGGTAAGCACCTGAAAAAGCTTAACCGTTTTAAACTTATGACTCATAACTTATGACCAGAAAAAACCTGCCTGATCCCACACGAGACGTGGACCTGAGCCAAGGAGACATTCTACCCTCGCATATCCTTGCCGCCCTCCGTCCTGGCGAACACCGTCCTCGCAACCTGGCGACCACCACTTCCCGCCCCGACCACATGGCCGCACCCCGTCCTCGCGACCACATCCGCGTCAGTGCCCTGTCAGCAGCACCTCCCTAACCCCCTGCCGCTCCTGTGACCGCCCTCCCTGCAACCTCCCGCACGCACGCTGTCCTCGCAACCCCTGCATGACCACCTGCACCACACCGCAACCCTCACTGACGTTACCACCCTGCATTATTCATGTTATGGGATGGAAAACCGACGAAAGTGCAGAAGCTCGATGACATTCTCAATTGGATAGAAGGCCCCTCAAGGATTCCTCAACTGCATGGGAAGGACCACATAACACCTCTCATTTACACGAACTGGAATCAAGCTTCATGGGCTAATTCCTCATTTTCCTTGCCGGCCCCCTACAGTACACACAACCCCTAAACTCTCCGTGATTCCTCGTCGTCGGAATCAAGAAACGAAGGTCTTGACGACATCACCGATGCTGAAGATTTTGCTCCTGAGCCAAGCTTTGCAGAATGCCACAACACGAGGGTAGGTCCGGGGGCCCTATAGAAACTTATTTTCCATTGCTTTATAAGGATTCTATGGGTTTAAGGGTAACACGAATTACACCCTGAACTGGGAAATGATACTACACTCTGCAAGCAGTGAAGGGACCCTGGCAGGGTCTGTGCCGCTTACGGAGCTCTGTAACTAATCCATTAATAGTGAATCTCTTGTGCTGGTCCATGTTGCGGTGGGGTTGTAAGCCCCAAATTCGTCCTACACGGACCCATGTTCTATACCTTTATGTAAAGCCTCGTTCAACATCTATAAGCGTGTAAAGGTCTGCACGGGAGTTAAGTTTAAATGCAAACTGAAAAGCCTTATCCAAATCAGCCCCTGGTTTCTCAAAACATCATCGTCCCCGTCATCCGCCTTTTCAGCTGCCTTTGCTGCTAGTGCCTGGAGGAATACCAGCACTGCATCCACGGCAAGTGGTCGAGCGGCGAAGACCCCCACCGACAAGGCTAACTTAGCCTGACGCAACACCAGCACTATGACAAGCACCACCATAATGCTCTTGGGGTGGCGTATTCTTCATCTTGTTGATGCTTGGGCGTTAAACGGTAAAGGAGTCAAGGAGGCTCTCGCAACGGGAAAACAACCGCAAAAGGGTACAAGAATTCCATATGCGCTTAGTAGCCACTTTCTCCACAGAAGGCTTGGTCAGAAGACTTGGCAAGTTGAAACGGCCGACGAATGAAATCGGAACATCGGCGTTCCTGAGGTGCTTTCCCCTCTACTTTTATGTATCATTACTATCAACAATATTCACAGTACTATTAGTATTTTTGCTATTTGAAGTAGTATTATTAGTACTACTGTTATGACTTATGATCACTTTTACTATTTCTACTTTACGGCTCTTCCCAGGCAGGCTTGCCGGTAATCAGTCCCATGCTCTTGCTATGGAGCCAGGTCACGAATTTTCGCGTAGCTTCAGCAGCAGCTGCAGCACAAAAGTGCCATGATTGGCCAGGGTAGCCAGAAAGACGCTGTCAATAACTTGACCCCTGCTCCAGCACATCTGCCTTAGTGTGGTCTTCTTTAGCGAAAGCAAAGCTCTAGGGTGAGCCGAGCTGTAGGGTTCTGACCAAAAAAAAACCAAAAAAGACCGTCAAGGGATCTCGCACGTTGCATTTCCCGAGCGAGTGCCCTAGTAGACAATTGAGCCCGTATCACATATTTTCCCGCCCCCTAAGATCCTTTTCGGGTCTGAGAAAAGGACTGCTTTGAGGACGACTGCTTTGAGAGCATCATGCGGAAGCCTAGCACGGACGCAGCATCTTCATGAACCGCCAACGTGCCGGAATCTTGCCAAGCGCTCAGGCTCAAACCGCAGTAGCCTGGGCCACTGCGAGGGCGATGCTTGGAAACTAGCTCTCCTTTGCACAATGCGCTACACTGCGCGTCAATATAACTAATGCCAACGTTCTTTGCATCTATAAATGGTAATTCCGCATGTCAGGCTGCCCCCACAAATATGCCCAGCATATGGGACACTTCCTTGTCTAAAACTTGGGCTGATGCTGCAAAATAACCTTCGAGGCCCAATTGGATTTGATCATGCAACAAACCGACTATGCTTTTCAAACCCTACATGCGAAAAAGTAAAGCCTAAGCTTCAGTCCTCAACGTCCTCAATCCCTAGACCCCAAGGCCTAAGCCGTGAAACCCTAAGCTGAAAACCCTTACCTAATACCCCAAACCCGCCCCTAGACCCCAAGGCCTAAGCCGTGAAACCCTAAGCTGAAAACCCTTACCTAATACCCCAAACCCTTACCTAATACCCCAAACCCTTAACCCTAAACCCTAAACCCTAAACCCTAACTCATCCAGGGAACCATTGGGGAGGTTGCCAATACCCAAGCGACAGCCCTCGCATAGGTTGGCTCCGCATCTTCGACATGCCCAGCGCGCGACTTGCGTTGTGGTCTGGAGGCGGCTATACCTAGACGTAGGTATATAAGCTAGAGTCTAAGCTCCTTGAAGAGAGGTTACGTAGGGGATTAGATAGGGGACTTTTGTAGGGGTCATTAAGGGGGATACTAGGAGTTTAGACGAATGGCTCATATTGCCAAACAGGAGGAATGCCAATAAGACTATAGTGAAAGAGGACAATGAACTCTTGCCTTGTTTTAACTTGTATTTTGCCTACCTAATTTTCCATTCTATTTTCCATTATCCCAATTTAACCCCAAGATATACACCTATTACTATAGTAGTTTCCATGTTCTTTTTGATTCTTCCCTATATAACCCCAATATAACTCTAATTTTCGCCTCCCTGGGGATGAGGGTGTCAGGTGTATGGCCTACGATGCTGGGTAGGACCTAGGGAGCAACGGTCATAGACAGGGTTTAGGGTTTTAGGGTTTCTTAGATACCAAGGGATAATCTTAGAAGATGCTATGCGGAATCCCTGAGCAAGAGTTGTCATTTATGTGTAAGAGCTACCTGCATGCAGTGGGTTTTGAAGGTCAACGTACTGGCCTCTGGCTTGAAGGAATGGATCCTTACAGTAGTCCCTACATAACCCATTACAATAATTTCCACTTTCTTTTCCGTTCCTTCGTTCCCAGCTAGCCAAAGGCCAGTGTGTTTACCGGCCTACTGACCCAAGCATAGCATGGAAGAGGTCTACTACTTGACATGCTAGGCACGTGCACAAGCAGTCATCGCACATCCAGGACTGGACCTCGCCACATGGGGGTAGCTTTGCCAAGCTGTCAACTGCCTTTTGGGGAGGACTGGGCTGCGAGAGCTCCAGGTGATCCCCCTCCGTATCCAAGGTAGCAAGCAGGTATAGCGTCTCTGGCAGGTCACATATGGGATCGCACAGAGGTTCCCCATTCAGCCAAAACACGACCGCCCGCTTGGTCATGTCCACCAACATGCCAACTTTGTTGGAATGCGGTCGCAGCTGCCCTTTTATCTTTGTGGTTTTTGAGCCTTTCATGAGCTCATTCTTGCCGTGCTGTGGCTTGAAACGGACACACCATCTGTCATACCGGCCACCATCATGGCTGCCACCTCTTGTGCGTACGGCTTCTGGCACAATCAGACCCACATATGTGTTGCAAACCACCTTCCGTAGATTAAACTCGTAGTATTGCTGGCCATCGATTAGTGCCTCACGGCTGTACACGTTCACATAATCCAAGCTGTCCCGGCGAGTTCTGTCCCCTTCTCCATCAAAGAGAACGCTGGTGTTATCAAAAAGAACTTGACCTTCGTAGCCAGCTGTGTTCCAGTGTGAATAATGGGCCATCTCCTCGCCCATGATCAGCAAAGCATCTTTCGCCTTAACCTGTGCGCATGTGAAGCTCTTGAGACACTCTTTTGGGAAGGTTCCCCAAGAAGGGGAAGCCTAGGGGCCTAAGAGGATACTAAGGTTTATGGGAACCCTTAACCCCCAAACCGTAAAAACCATCCCTACATACTCCCAGCTTCAATGTTCTTTCTCTTGTGCATTTGGTTCTCCATGGTTGGGGTAATATCGCTACAAAATCCCCAACTATGGATTATGTAGATGGACATTTTACCCCCCAAGCCCTAGACCCAAACCCTCAACCCTAAATAATTGTATCGCTGACAATAGCTAGCAGCTAGATCACCCCTTCAAAGAATCCCTATGCCCTATATGAGCTATAGTCGAAATTCCCATTATCCCCCTAGAAAAGTCTCCCATACAACCCCCTATAAGGAGTTTAGACTCCAGCTTATATAGCTCCCTTCAAACCCCTGTCCACAGCTTGTTCCAGAACCATCCTAAACCCTAAACCCCTACACTCTAAAACCCTAAACCCCAAACCCCTCAACCCTAAACCCTAAACCCCTAAACTCTAAAACCCTAAACCCCAAACCCCTCAACCCTAAACCCTAAACTCTAAAACCCTAAACCGCTTGCCTCCAGAACCATCCTCATAGGGCCCTGCATGCCTTGGGCCCAGCGCTGCTGTGCTTTGTCCCAAGAACCCCAGCGGATCCCAACCTCAGGTAGTTTACACAAGGACTGAGGGTTAAGGGTTAGGATTTAGGGTTAAGGGTCTGAGGTTTAAGGTTTAGGATTTAGGGCTTAGGTTTTAAGGTCTAGAGGTTATGGTTCAGGGCTTAAGGTTTTGAGTTTGTGGTCTTTGTAAAATCTACTGTGCATTATTGTGAAAAAGTACCCATAACGGTATACAAGACAATAAGTAAAGTTAACTCTGGCGCACCCGCGGCTATGTGGGGATCTGTTCTGGGAAATACCTGAACTATAGGGTATTCTAGACCCAAAGAATCATACGCCCTATTATTGGGGCCCACAAAAAGGGACCCCCAAAGTTATGGAAAACCTGTACCCCGTAAATCTCTAAATATCATCCCGATGAACCTTTCAAGCTGATTTTCCGCTTCTTGAGTAATATCCCTATAGAGTCCCTACAAATCCCTATGCAGGTTGTTCTGAGAAACAGCCTAAACATTAAAAACCCAAACCCTAAAAACCCCAAACCCTAAACAACCCTAACCCCACCTGGCTTCCAATCTCCACTTGCGAGTCGCAACACCACACCTGGAGTATCTCTCAGTGAGGAGGGGGGGGTGCCCCTTAGCTGTAGGTTTAGGGTTTTAATCTTTTTGGTTTATTGGTTTGGGGGTTTTGGGGACCCGCGCAAAGTGCGTTTTGAGTCTACTTGCAGGGCCAGAGGGGCTCATTGGGGACAACCAAGGTTCTTAGATGGGGTGTACAGGGGCTATAGGTATATGCTTACTAAGTCTCCCTGACCCTCCTACGAGTCTACCCCTCAAAGAATAGGCTTCAAGTATTTGGAAACTACAAGCAGACTATTGAAGGTCGCCCACAAGGATGTGTAGGGAGCCCTAAACCCTAAACCCGAAATAGTAATTTCCATTTTATTTTCCATTATCCCTATATAACCTCTATATCAATATAGGCCCAAGATTTTCAAACCCAGCCACCTCCTCCCCTGTCAGCAATGTGGCCACCAGCTGACCATGCCGAAGACGTAGATGGAAAGGTGGACCCCTGTACGTGGGGGTTGGACTGTCGAAAATCAATAAAATCTAGACCTCAAGGAGTAGTGCTTTTGGGTGGTTTGAGAAAGTAAGAGTAGACTTGTCATTGAAAGTACTAAGCGCATAATTAAGGATGATAGCATCCTACTCTGTTTAGGGGACTATAGTATCCCTGTCCGAAACAGGACTCGGTTCGGGGGAATGGGGAGGCATTTGAGCTTCTCATAGTATCCCTCTAGAATCTGAAACCTTGACCCAACAACCCTGAACCATAGCTAAACACCAAACCCATAAGACAAAGTGGTCCAGGACGAGGGCGGCCTAGTCCGTGTCCAGTAGCCCAACCGCACATTCACGGTGCCCTTGCTGCTGCTTGCGCTATACCTTTCCAGGTGACCGTCCCACCGCATGTTCATATGCAACATCGTATGTGCAGAATGTGCGTATACGCAGACATGCGCATATACGTATCAAAATATCTACATGCATCTATGTGTATTTGCAGATGTGCCTCCTAGAAACCATGCAGAAAATTTGATGTGTGTGTACACCTGTACATATGTTCACGTCTACGTATTTGTGCCATAAAAAAGTACATCTTGTTTGGTGGCATCAAGCACTGTCTTTTTGCGATGCTTCGCTGCGGTTTCGAGCCATGGTCTTTGTAGCCTTGTGGTTTTGGTCAGTACATTGTTGCAGCTGTTGCTGCTACTACTACTGCTGCTACTCGTCGTACTATCACTTCTAGTTCTCAAATGACAGTAACTGTCTTCGTGGGCGACGGCGCTGTCATAGCCACAGCAGTTCTTAGGAACAATAACAGCAACAGTTACAAGAAAAGAAACCTTGGCAGTAGCAAGTCGTTGTAGTAGTAAGAGTAGGATAGGAGTGATCGCGTTAAGGAAGAAAATCAATCTTGGCCTTTATTAAGTATCCAACTTCCAGTGATTCCTGCTTGGAGTCTGAAAGCTCTCAATATCGCAACGTCTGGATCCTAAACCCTACATCTGCAACTCACCAGGTTAAGTGCCAGCCGATGTGCGGTTCCAGGTCGTGTCCACCCTCACAGCCTTTTCCATTGAAGAGCTCTGTATCAGGCATGCTTGGTGTGCTGAGGCGGTCTTCAAGGGCCAGCCTAGGCTTCCAAAACTTCACCAAAGGAGCGCCATGATTTCGTTTTAGCTGAGGAGGCGGTTTATCAATGGCAGTGGTCGTCTAGTCTTCGAGCCGTACGCAGAAGGAATTTCCCAATAATCTCACGTCTGGCTTCCTTATGCTGATAGTATGGTACAGCAAAACCAGACAAGTTCTTCTTCCAAGGCTGCCGGTAACAGTGCATCGACGTCGCCGCTAGAAAGCGCCACATGAAAAGCTGAATGGCCGGTGCTAGCTCGTTGAGTCACCTCAGAGGAGCTCTTGTGCATGGAGTGATGCTGTTGATACTAAGTCCTGCAAACACTACGTATACCAAGTACAACACCATGGTAAAAGGTACTAGACTAGGGTTCATGGAGGACATTTTGTATCAACCATATCACCTATGTACTGGCCAAGCAGAAAGGTGCTAGCTAGAGCTGTTGAGAACGTGAAAAGCATCTATAGACACGCATATATGCGCTATAGTCTAAACTCCTAGTATCCCCCTCAATCCCCGGAACTTCGACCATAGCTCACATGACAGAACAGCTCCCCAAGCATTTAATAGAGCAATCGTGGAGGACTTGATAGACATCCAGAACCAGTAGAGAGACAGCGCAGATCCCTCGACTGCTTTAAAGGTTCCAGTCACGTCTGCCCGCTTTGACAGCAGAAAGTTCACGGCTGGTAGACTGCCCGATTCGACCGCAACCTGCTCTTCAGGGGAGCCATGGGTTCAAGAGTTTGGTGCTGAGAAGCTTAGGTTACAAGAATTCGAAGGCCACATGATAGTGCGGGGCCAAGCGACACCGAACCCCAAGCAGGCTCCTTTGAGAAGGACCGCAGTCTTGTATAGCCCGTGAGTACATCGCTAGGTCTTCGTTAGGTCCGCTCCTTATTCAGCTCGTCTCTTCCTCCACACTCACAAAAGGCTGGGTTGCTGTTAAGGAACTTAACTTAAGTTACTATATTGGGTACATATAGTAAATAATAGGGTTTCCCCAATATAGTAACTTAGCTTAAGTTCCTTAACAGCAACCCAGAAGGAGGGCACTGTCTTGAAGATTGGGTTGTCTTGGGAGCCATTTTTTCAGGCGTCAGTGGTTGGGGCATGCGAAATTTTCCTGATTGTGGTAATTGTACTGCCCTGCAGGTATAATACCCCGAGTCCAATCATCGCCTTGTGCACAACGCATACTCGTTGGGTGAATAGAATCCGGCCCATTCAAAGAGCGTGCTTGGAAGAACCTCTTTAACCTGGGTTTATACTAAGAGTCCTTGCCGCAGAAGGGTGAGCCACAAAGGATGAGTCTATGGCAGCTTTTACAACATGGGAGTTGGCAATACTGGAGGTTGTGTAATACAGGGTTTGGGGTTTAGGGTTTAGGGTTTAGGGGGTACCCTAAACCCAGTATGAGATTTTGAGAACCAAGCTTGGCATAGCATTTAGCTCATGCGCATCTGTGTCAGCACCCGTGATCATTGTCCTTGGCAGGAGTAACTACACAATTGTCATCAACCCTAGCCAGCAGCATAAAGTCTTACCAACACCTTATCTTCATAACACATACATGCTTATAGTAGAATACACCCCCAAACACCAATTCTGCTCAAACAGGCTCCTGATTAATAGCTTGAACCTCCGCAATCTTTTCAAATTTCAACCCCGCGCCCCCATGTAATCTCAGTTTCCATGTCATCTTCCATTTCTTCTCCGTCTGAGTGCCCGTTTGTTGATAAGCATTCAGGCCCCTAATTGCAACCCTAAACCTCTCTAAAATCCCTACCAGAGCCCCTGAAAGGGATCCTGAACCATCAACAGCCGGCCTGAAGTAGGGGCTTCTCCAGTCCAGGAGTCGCGCCAGCATTCCCGTCATTTCCTTTCCACCAACTTACTGTTGATGGGCTGGATTAAGGGGTTAACAAGGTATTCGGGGTTAGGGTTACATCGGGGTTTAGGGCTTAGGGTTGCATAGGTGCTAGGCGTTAGGGGTTACGAAGGGGTCATGTGTTAAGGTCGTCAAAGTCTCGAAAACCCTGAACCCTCAACCCCTAAACCTAATCCACCCTAAACCCTAAACCCCTGAACCCTAATCCACCCTAAACTCTAACCCCCCTAAACCCTAATCCACCCTAAACCCTAAACCCCTAAACCCTAAACCCCTAAACCCTAAACCCCCAAACCCTAAAACTGGAGGGTGCAAGCCCTGTGAAGTGAAGATCTCCTCCTAATAGCCAGCAAAAGCCCTCACCCAAATCCCCAAAATGTTAAGCAAGTCCATAAGGGAGTTTAGGGTTTAGGGTTTAGGGTTTACCAAAATTAGGGGTACCTTTACCGGGCTTCATAGGGGTTATATGAGGTTAAAGGATTAGGATTTCCCAAGATTAGGGGGTACCTGTAAAGGGCCTCATAGGGGTCATATAGGGCTTAAGGATTGGGATTTCCCAAATTCGGGGCACCTTAAAAGAGTTTTCTAGGTGCTATATAGGGTTTAGGGTCTAGGGTTTCCCAAAATTAGGGACCCGTTGAGGGGCCCCCAGATTCAGGATTATACTGTATCAGGGTCATTGGGGTCCCCCCTTTTTTGGGAAACTACCACATCCCTCCTCCCTGAAGCATTCACATGGATACTTTAGCGTTTAGGGTTTAGGGTTTAATTATATGAAGCCTAACCAACTCTCATTGAGCCTCTGCTGAATAGACTTGCGAGAGTGCTACCTGAAAATATCAGCACCCTGTATACTCCCTCAATGCAGAAGCCGCAACACCCCGAGATCGATGAAAAGAAAAGTTGATAAACCTTAGCTTCTCAATCTAGGGACTGGGGCCCCTACAAGTATATGGAAACTATATGACAAGGTGATGCGGGTCCCTGTTTGGGATTACAGACGATCATTTTGAGAAAAAATCCCATATTGAACATGCAAGCTTGTATAGGATCAACCTGACAGACACCATAAAATCGCAATATGAAAAACCAATGACCCGACACGATCCATGGCTTACCGCAAGAACTGGTTGAACAAGTTAGGTACCCGAGACGTCCCTACTAAGGATTTTGTAGCAGGCTGCTTCGACATTTTATCCATATATAATGTAGGATCGTTGTTCGTGGCCACCCCGCAGATGGACAACCTGTAAACCTAGATAACGTAACCACGGAATCCGCACCGCCCTTGCCACAATGTTCAAGAAAGAGCCCCTTCAACTCCGAGTAAGCTCTAGATAATTACTGGTCTAAAGGTCGTTTGGGGAAAGTAACGAGTTTTCCTGCACGTCTACATATAAGGAAAAAGGTAGGAAACACTATTTCGCATAATGGCCGTTATGGACCAGGTGTTCCGGTCAAATCCTAAATCTACAAGCATCACGGCTCCTTCGGTTGCAGCCTCCAGCTGCCGAATCAGGCCTTTTGCCCCAATCAACAACTGAACCTGGCATCGTTGGATACTGGTCCCCAACACAAAAAACAGTCATACACAAATGGTAGGACCCCTATTAAGTGACACAACCTTCAGGTACAATCTGTGGGGACTCGAATAGTGGTGCAATATCCACCAACTCATGGTTTGGATTTTCGGTTCAGGGATTGATCCAGGTGAACTTGTGGGTATGGAACGAAGGAATGATCTTAATGTACGTCCCCATAGCCTGTTTCTTGAGTTGAGAGAAAATTCACCATTGAAATGGTCCTGTTTCATCTTTTCTTATTGGCTTTTTTTTTTATCAGAATCTGTATTCAACTATAGTCCAAATAGTCTAGTAAGCATCGCAACGGCCAACCCCCGCCCCCTCTAAAACCCTAAACACTTAAACCCAGTCCAAGGCAAACCTTAAACCCCGCTGCTACGCACAGTTCTTACCCTTGCACTTTTTACTAATTCGGCACTATGTGCAAGGTGGTGTTTTGATTCAGCGTTCGTGGCCTGAAGCGGAAATGCGGTTGGCGGAATGGATGAAATCCTAACGCTACAAACACAGTTAGCAGAAGTCATCAAGAAAGAGCTGCGCGTGTAGAGAAGTATGTATGACCCTATTATGCTATAGTCCTTTCCATGTTCTTTTCCATTATCCCCAATATAACCCCAATATATCCCCTCTATTAACCCTATCATACTACAGTAGTTACCACTTTATGTACCATTATCCCAATAAAACCCCGATATAACCCTAAACCCTCTAATATTACCCCAATGGGTACCAGGTTGAGCACCTCATCGCTACAGCGTGAGAAGGATAGCGCAGAAGAGTCTCAAGTATTCGGGCTCATGGACTCATGGGGCTTAGTGACCCATTAGGTAATATTAGGGTTATATAGAGGTTATATAGTACATTGTAATATCTTATAGGGGCTATAAGGAGCTACATGGGCGTCTAGGGGTGTAGCTTCCCAAAGTCGACCTTTGGTTTACTTTGTCTTTGTAGTGCCCACACAGCTTACTCAGTGGACACGTACGCGCGACATTGCATCGATGCCTGAGGAAAGCCTGTGCCACGGGCTGCAAGTATTTCCTATCATTGCGACACGCCTGAAATACCCCGGAGGAACATACCCTAAACCGTAACCCCTTAACCCTCAGGCTGTATGTCGTACGTATCCCTTCAATCACATGACGGGGAAGTTGGCCTTCAAAGAATATAGGGAGAATGGAAAAGAAAATGGAAACTACTATTTAGGGTTTAGGGTGCAATCTAGGCAAAATGGAAAAGAACATGGAAACCACTATCTAGGGTTTAGGGTTATATAGGGATAACGGAGAAGAACATGGAAACTATAGGGATTATAGGGATTTGGGATGTCTGGGACTTTCCACGCGCGCTAAGGGGAAGTGGCGCTGCCTCGCACTGGGTTTGGTAGAACCTGTCGTTATCCTTGTAACATGTGCTAAGGGCTACTTTACCCAGGGCCTTCTGCCCTGAGAATGGATGGCCCCATGTGAAGCAACAACCATCAACCTCACTCTGGCAAACGACAGCAAAACTAATTACTACATGTAGCAGCGATATCAATGCTGAAATGCCCTGCCTCACGTTACATAGCAAATAACGTGCTCTTCACAATACAAAACAACAACGGGAACCCAGTATGGTGACACGTTGTTTCGCAAAGACCCAAGTCCTACAATGCAGCCTCGAAGAAAGGAGAATGAGTCTTGTTCATCACTTGTCGACACCCTAGCCCATAATCCCTAAGCCTCAGGAACCCTCAACCCCACACCCTAATACCCTAGTCCTTCCCTCCGCTAAATTTCCCTTCACCCTAACCCCCTAAACCCTAAACCCTAAACCTATATTCAAGCCCTTGACCTTCATCCCTACACTCTCTGAGGTATGTATACTATGAACATGAATCTTATCTGTAACAGTAGCTACGAGAGATTATCTGTTACGGCCTTGTTGTAGCGTGGTTTTCCCTGCCTACAAACCCATAACCCTATACAACCACTCTATGGTCCTAGGTCCCGTTTCACTTTCCATGTTCACTTCCACTCTTTCTCCACCACCCTAGACCTTAAAACCCAAACCCTAAATCCGTAACCCCTAAACTCCAAACCCCACACCCTAAGCACCGAAATCCCAAACTCCAAAACCCTAGGCCCCAATGGAGAACACGGGGCCTTCTGCGCAATGCTCTGCCTGCTGCTTCCCTCCACTTCGGACTGGAGGCCTTCCTGCACCTGGAATTATTCTAAGGTTGAAACCATAGGGGG